GAAGTGCATCTCCACCGCGGCCGGCCACATGATCGAGATCCCGTTGATGCCCGCAACCCCCGAGGCGATGTGCAAGAGCCTGAGAGCGAACCTCCTCCACGCGAGCATTGGCTTGACCAGGGCCGGCACGCCGTCCCAGAAGTTCTGCTTGAGGGGGATCGACATCTCTTCCTCCGTGAAGTCCAGGTCCTGCAGCTCCTCTGGGATCTCCTCCCAGTCCTCCAGCTCCTCGTCCTCCATCACGCACCTGAGCGCCGCTGCCGAGCGCCTCCTCCGGTGCGGCTGCCCCATCTTGGCCATCGGGCTGCCGAACTTGCCCTTCACCAGCGTGCAGATATGCACTGCTGGCCGTCTGAGGTTTCTGAGCCGAAACAGCTACGGAGTTCGATCCTGAATTCTTGGTCGCTGCTCCCGGGACCCGACACTCCCCAACGCCGAGAAGGAGAGGAGAGAAGAGGGATCTGAAATCGCGCAACTAGATGCCCACCCTCCCCTCAGGTCCTCGCGCACGTCGGCCGGCACGCGAGACAGCACGTCGTCCGGCACGCTGAAGTTCTCGGGCTCGCAGTGGATCCGGCTGATGGACCTGTGCCCGGCCAGGTGCCGCGCGAGGGTGTGTCGCACCTTGTCGCGATCGCCGAGCTCGATCTCATCGCTACCTAAGTCGATCACCGCGTGCATGGCCTCCAAGAGCCGAGCTGGAAGAAGAGGTGGGCACAGGCCCGGAAGCACCAGGAACTCCACGATCCCGCACTTCCAGATGCTGACGGGGACCCATGCCCTCGCTACGGGGTTGACCTTGCCGCCGACTCCGCCGCGCGTGACCCCTGCCACCGGGCCCTCCTTCACCAGGATCCGGAATCCACGTCTCTCGAACGCGGTCTTCATCAACTCCAGGTCCTCGCGTCCAATGAGCGCCTGACCCGCTGCAGTGTCCACCAAGGCGTGATCACCCAACTGCCGAAGCGAAAGCTCAGGCCCTGCCACGTGCAGCGTCTTGAGCAGCTGGTTCCAGTCGTCCACCGGGATGTAGCTGTCCGCGTCCGGCAGCACGTCGAAAAAGAAGCTCTTGCCCGCGCCGTCCCTCTTGCCCTTCTCGCTGGCGATCCTATCCGCCTTGGATCTGAACGGACTCTTGCACGACTCCGCCCAGTGACCACGCTCGCCGCAGTTCGCGCACCTGGTGCGCTTCTTCACGTCGGTCATCATGAGCCTCTTGAGTCCTGGACGAGCAGCTCTCTTCCTGTCGAAGAAGTCGCGGTCCACTTTCTTGGCAGCTTTGAGCCGCCTGGCCTCGGCCCAGGTGCGTCTCTTCTCCTTGCCCAGTCGATCCTCGACCACCGCCGCGAAGATCTGCAACACCTCGGTCTCGCCAAGGTCCTGGTCGTCGAGCGTGGCGAGGAAGACGTCAACATCCTCCTCTGGCAGCTCGACGGAGTCGTCAATCTCGGTCAGGAAAGCCTCGTCCTGGTACGGCTCCGGCGGCGGGGGAACCTCCTCTGACACCTCGGCTGCAAACGCCTTCGTCACGGGCGTGTGCGTCGTCGGCAGAATCGGCTGATCTTCGACGTCCAACTTCAAAAGTGCGGCACGTATCGAACTGAAGTCGTCCTTGCCTCCTGCCAACGTTCGCATGTTGATCTTGTTCTGCGCTGAAAGACATGCGCCTTCCTCGAGATACCTCGATTTGATCGGATCCGGCAAGGCCAAGTCGTATCGTTCAGCTTCTGCAATCTCTGCATCGCGTCTCAAAACGAACTCCGTGATCGACTCTCCTTTCTTGATCATGTAATTGAACAGCGCTGCGTTATGTGCCAACCTCTCGCGATCTCCAGGCCGCTCGCCGTTCAAGAGTGACAAGTGCTTCAAAAATCGGTCGATGCCGTCCTGCGAGTCGAGATCGGCCCGGATCGTTCGAAACTTAAGCTGTAGTTCGACTGGAAGACCTTCAAGAATACGTCCTGCCTGAGTCTCTGGTCTAAAGCCGGTACGCCGAGTCCAGGCTAACACGTTGTGCCTGTACGTTTCGAGGTTCTCGAAGTTCAACCAAGGAGGGGGAGCGCCAAAATCTCTGTTCGGAACCGCGTGGGGATTCGTCCAGGCCGCCGACGAAGATCCCCAGCCATCATCTCTCCAGGCGTCATCCTTTCCCCAGTTGGATGACTCGCTAGCCTGCCACCACCACTTCCACTCCCAAGAGCCTCTCCAGCCGCTCCACTGATCAGCCCCCTGACCCGCAGAACCTGATGACTGCTGAGCATCTGCCTGGGTCGAGGCGTCATCATGACCTCGACGAGCTCTCTCTGGTGTGGGTAGTGACTGCCACGCGTCTGCTAGTGGCTCCTGGTGTTCCTGCGCTCCCGTCTGCTGCTCCTGATCGCCCGCGCCCGGAACGCCCATGGTCTCCGCGAGCCTCTCCGACATCGCTCCGCTTACCACTGTCACTGAAAGGATGGACGCATGGATCTGCGAGTCGTAAAAGGACGAGCGGAGACGGGGCTTTTCTCCGGGCCGCGACCTCACGGGCACACGGTCGAAAGCGCCTAAGCCAAAGTGGCTACCCAACGGGGGCGGGGAGAGATCCAAAGGGACCAGAGGGGGAGAACACACCACGGGCCCTCAAGGGCCTTGGGAAGACACTCCTCCTCCTCCTCCTCCTCCTCCTCCTCCTCCTCCTCATCCCCCTCCCGTGTTCCTCCTCCTCCTCTTCCTCCTCCTCCCCTCCCCCTCCTCCTCCTCCTCCTCCTCCTCCTCCTCCTCCTCCGCCTCCGCCTCCTCTCCTCCTCCTCCTGCTCCTCCTCCCTCCTCCTCCTTCCTCCTCCTCCTCCTCCTCCTCCTCCTCCTCCTCCTCCTCCTCCTCCTCCTCCTCCTCCTCCTCCTCCTCCTCCTCCTCCTCCTCCTCCTCCTCCCCCCCTCCTCCCATTCCTCCTCCTCCTCTCCTCCGCCTCCTCCTCCTCCTCTCTCCTCCCCCTCCCCCTTCCTCCTCCTCCTCCTCCTCCTCCTCCTCCTCCTCCTCATCATCATCATCATCATCAATCATCATCAATCATCATCATCATCATCATCATATCATCATCATCCTCCACCTCTTCTTCCTCCTCTCCTCCTCCTCTCATCATCCTTGTCGTATCCACCTTCTGATCCTGCTGTCTAACCCTCCTCCTCCTCCTCCTGCTCTCCTCCTCCTCCTTCTTCCTCCTCCTCCTCCTCCTCCTCCTCATCCTCCCTGCTCCTATTCGTCCTGTTCGTCCTGTGTCTCCTGTTCCTCATGTTCCTCCTGTTCCTCCTCTTCCTCCCTCCTCCTCCTCCTCTCCTCCTCCTCCTCCTCCTCCTCCTCCTCCTCCTCCTCCCCCTCCCCTCCCCCTACCCCTCCTTTCCTCCTCCTCCTCCCCTCCTCCTCCTCCTCCTCCTCCTCTCCTCCTCCTCCTCCTCCTCCTCCTCCTCCTCCTCCTCCTGATCCTCCTCCTCCTCCTCCTCCTCCCCCTCCTCCTCCGCCTCCTCCTCCTCGTCCTCCGACTTTCCCCCACCACCGACGGCGACGAACGAGAGATTACTTGCAACCTTCACATGCACTCAGTACAATAATGAGACCAGATGGGAGGAAAATGTGTCGCAACCACAGAAAACGCTGTTCGGGCAGGCGGGGCGGTAAATATACGATTCATGTAGTGATGGAGCGTTCACTCGGGCGGGCGGGAGGGACAATAAATGCAACCTTCACTTTGTGATGGGACAAGATGGGGGGACAATCTGTCGCAACCACCAGGGACGCCGTCCGAGCGGGCGGGACGGCAAATATACGATTCATTCAGTGTAACCGCTGAGTCCGGCGGTGGGCGGGGTATGACGTGCAACCATTACTCAGCGATGGAACAAGATGGAGAGGAAATATATCACAACCACGGGGTCCGCCGCTCGGGCGGGCGGGACACAAGGTATACGATTTACGCAGTGGTGGAGCGTTCGGTCGGGCGGGCGGGCGAGACATTAAGCGCAACCACGCCCAGGCGGGCGGCAAGGGGCTGGGGGCAGTTGAGCAGGGACCGACCGTCCCGGTATGTTCTTAGAACAGAAACCCGATGCGATACAACAAGACAGACTCCGCCAGAACTGTTCTGAGAGCGTCTCGCGGAATCCACAAGTAGGGGACCGCATGCGAACCCTACACCTACCCCCCACGATTGGGAGATCCCGAACGAAGTGAACCCCACCCTCCCCCTCAGAAATCGTGGGTGGTAGGCGTAGGGTTCGCATGTGGCCCCCTTAACAAGAGGTTTTTTGGACAGTGCTTGTTGGGCGTGGCTTAATGGGGGGTCACAAATGGGGGGGTCAGAAAAGGTCCCCCTTCGTGCCCCTTTCGGGCCCCTCCAGAGCCCCAGGGGGCACGTTTAGGTACCGTTTGGGTACCTTTTCGGACCACGCTCGCCACCCCCCCATTTATGACCCCCCCATTACGCGGCGCCCAAGCTTGACAGGGCTGTGGGCGAGCCGGGGCGCTTCGCCGCTGCTCGAGGCAGGGGCCGGGGCCCGAGGCCCCGGGGGAGCAGAGCGAAGGAGAGGGGCAGAGTCCGGTCAAGTTTGAGCCAGGCCTGTCCCCCATGAAGGGGGGAATTTGCAAACATAGTAAAAAAATAGTCTGGGGACTATTTTTTAGTATGTTTTGAGCATGTTGGGGGTATGTTTTGAGTCGGGCCGGTCCCCCTACAGGGGGGAATATTCAAGAATACTAAAGGAATAGTATGAATATTGCTTTAGTATCTTCTGAACAGGTTGGGGGTATGCTTTGACTATTTCTTATTTGTCGTCCAAACTCCCCCTGTAGCAGGACAGGCCCGACTTTCAGGTCAAGAGGACCCGCCGTCGCCACGGCCCCGCCGTCGCCGCCCCTCCTCGGGCGCGGCGCGTCCCCCGCCGGACCCGCCCTCGGGGCAACGAGGGCCGCGCGGTAGAGGCGGGGCCTCCCGACGCGCCCCTGCCCCGCCAGCCGGCCCCGCGGGCGCCTGTCGATGTTGCAGTGCCTGCCCTGCTCGGAGTCCGCGTCCTGACCGCCGAGGGGGGGCGGCGGAGCGAGGACGTCGACGACGACGGAGGAGGAGGAGGAGGAGGAGGGGGAGGAGGAGGAGGTAGGAGGAGGAGGAGGGGGAAAAGGAGGAGGAGGAGGAGGAGGAGGAGGAGAAGGTAGGAAGAGGAGGAGGAGGCTCTTCGATCGTCAAAGCGTTCCACTTTGGACGATTCCGGGCCACCGGCGGCGTTTCCCTTCCACCTCGCACGCCCAGGGCGGGGGCGCCGCCGCGGCGACACGACACGAACCAAAACCGCAGGCGGCGTGGGCTCGCTTGCCCGGAGGCGCGGCAGCGGCCGACTGGAAGGCCATCAGATGCGGCTTGAAGCCAGCAGCGATTGTTCGGTCATCGCGCTCGCGGCCTTGAGCCGAATGGTGAGCCTCCTTGAGCCGAATGGTGAGAAGGAGGAGGATGAGGAGGAGGAGGAGGAGGAGGAGGGAGGAGGAGGGGGAGGAGGAGGAGGAGGAGGATGTAGGAGGAGGAGGAGAAGTTGGAGGAGAAGGAGGAGGAGGTGGGGAGGGGGCAGCGGCCACGTGCGCTCCTTGAGCCAAATGGTGAGCCTGGGGCCGCCGGGGCGGCACCAGGGAACAAACACTCTGCTGCGCCTCGCCTGCGGGGGGAGAGACCCGGCACCTGAGTGCATTGCGGCACCGACTGTGGCTTGGCCGAGCATACGGTGAGCGGTTTGAATAAGGAACACTTAATTTTCCAAAGGGGCTCGGCCGTTCCTTAGGCTTGCATGCGTTAATTATCGTTCCCTACGCGTTATGTATTATTTGTTCATCGTTCCCTATGCGTTATTCCTTGGAAGAAAGGGGATTCGTTCCTTATTTATTGTTCCTTAGGTCAGGCCGATTACTGTATCGTGGAACGGTCGAGCCAGAGACGCTGCAGGCGGCGTGGAAGCGCCAGCAGGCCTCGCTCGGTCTGCGCCCCCGCTGGCAGGCCGTGGACGGCCCGTGGAAGCGCACACGAGTCTCCGGGTGCCGGGATCGGGAGGTGGGCGCGGACCCAGAGCGGGGACGGCCTGCAGTGGGGGCTCGACCACAGGACACCTTCCACAAGAACCCCCAACCCGTAGACCCCATGACGTCCATTGATGTCTGGCGTGGGCACGTCACGCCTTCCATAGCAAGAACCATCGAAACCCAAGAAACCCAGGGAACCCTGGAGGCAAACAGCGTGTTCCTTGACATGGCCCTCCACTGGAAGACAGCCTCGCTCAAGACAGCCACACGCAAATGAATAGACACACGTAACACGATTCCCCATATTTCCCCATATTATCGGGGCTTTTGTCCTCCCCCCCAGTTCCCACTTTTGTTTCCATATTTCCTGGGGAATCGACGATTCATTGTGTCTGTGTGTTTCTTTCCCTCCTGACAGTAATCATGCTGCTCTCGGTTATAATCCAAATAAGGCCACAGAAGGCGCGCTGCAGCGCCTTCATTTGCCTCATTAGTTGGCTTGAAACAACCTCAGATAGCAGCGGCCTGTGGCTCCTAAATTGGCCCTATCAATGACCCCAAAATCACATGGAATGGTTCGTCGTGCGTTGATTGCGTCCGTGTTTTTTCCCTTTCCTGACCTCGGCGCGCCGGGACGCCCCGCCACTTCCGGGAGCACGGCCCGGGCCCACTCCGAGGCCGCAGCCCCGCCGCGGGCCGCGCAGCCGCCGCCTTGCCCCGGCGCGCCCGCCGCCGCGCCGAGGGCGGCGGCCGGCGGGCGGCGGCCGCGGGCGCCCCGGGAGGGCCAGCCGGTAGAGTCGGCGGCCCGAGAACAACGCGGCCGCGCATCCCGCTACCCCCGCGAACCGCCGAGGACGTTGCCGCCGGAGACGTTGATGTCGACGCCGGTGATGTTCGGCGGTGGACAAACCTCCTTGTAATAAACTTCCCTTCAGGGAAAGCGGCCCGGGACCGAAACCGACGGACCTGGACCCGCAAAAATGACGGCCGCGACGCCCTCCCGCGAACCGAGAACAGCCAATTCACCAATCGACGTGTCAGGGTAGGAGGTCTGTCCAGCCCCGATAGAGTCACGCCGGGCCTGTCTCTCTAGAGGAGGAGCATTCAAGAATCATCCAGACATGGTCTGTGAACGGTGTTTGGATATTTCTGGACTGCTTGAAAAAGATGGTGTGAGCGTCCTTACTTTTCCGCCTGAGATCCGCCTGCAGGGGGACATGCCCGACCTACCAATAGAGGAACAAAAAACGGCATAAACATAAACTTCCGGAACTCCGCGCTGGATTTCCTGTATCCGCGCTGGGCCCCCCCAACGGCGCCTCCGGCGCCACCCCTGGCTGCCGCTCCGCGCGCCAGGGAGGGGGGTTCAGCGCAGATCCAAGAAATCCGCGCGGAGCGCCGAAAGTTTATGTTTATACAGTGTTTTCGTCTTCGAGCCAGGGCGCTGCCGCCGCGGACGCCGATGGCGGCGCCGGCGGCGCACGAACGCACGCCACGAAGCAATACGCAAAGACACCTTCCAAGAGGGTCCAAAGAGGAGCCCAAGACGGTCAGAGATCGGCCAAAGAGGGCCCCGAGAGAGGCGAAGAGGTAGAACACGAGCCGAAGATCTTACCTTTCCGCCCAAAGAGACCCCCCAAAGGGCCCAAGAAGCCCCCAAGCGGCCCAAGAGAGGCCTCCAAGAGGCCCCAAGGCGGCCGCCAACACGCGTTAACATTGCCTCCTAAGAGGCTCCGCCAGAACTCCAAACAGCTCCCATGACGCTCACAAGAATCCCCACAGAATGCCCAAGAAGACACGATGACTCGCCCGTGGACTCCGCGCGTCTGTCTGGGGGTCGGCGGAATGGCGTAAGCCTGCCGAGTAGATACACGAACGCCCTCCGACCTATTTTGCATTCACCTTCAGGGAGTGGGGCGGTGTGTGAAGTCGCTGGCTCGCAGTGGTGGGGCGGCGGTGTAGGAAGTCGCTGGCTCGAAGTGGTGACTTATACACCGCCATCCTCCCCTGAGGCCCAGAAAGAATCCACTGGGAGGTGTTTGTGCGCACAGTTTTGCCGCGGAGAACAGCCGCACTCGACGCGTGGTCGCGAGCGGCCCGAGAACAACGCGGCCGCGCATCCCGCTACCCCCGCGAACCGCCGAGGACGTTGCCGCCGGAGACGTTGATGTCGACGCCGGTGATGTTCGGCGGTGGACAAACCTCCTTGTAATAAACTTCCCTTCAGGGAAAGCGGCCTGGGACCGAAACCGACGGACCTGGACCCGCAAAAATGACGGCCGCGACGCCCTCCCGCGAACCGAGAACAGCCAATTCACCAATCGACGTGTCAGGGTAGGAGGTCTGTCCAGCCCCGATAGAGTCACGCCGGGCCTGTCTCTCTAGAGGAGGAGCATTCAAGAATCATCCAGACATGGTCTGTGAACGGTGTTTGGATATTTCTGGACTGCTTGAAAAAGATGGTGTGAGCGTCCTTACTTTTCCGCCTGAGATCCGCCTGCAGGGGGACATGCCCGACCTACCAATAGAGGAACAAAAAACGGCATAAACATAAACTTCCGGAACTCCGCGCTGGATTTCCTGTATCCGCGCTGGGCCCCCCCCAACGGCGCCTCCGGCGCCACCCCTGGCTGCCGCTCCGCGTCAGGGAGGGGGGTTCAGCGCAGATCCAAGAAATCCGCGCGGAGCGCCGAAAGTTTATGTTTATACAATGTTTTCGTCTTCGAGCCAGGGCGCTGCCGCCGCGGACGCCGATGGCGGCGCCAGTGGCGCACGAACGCACGCCACGAAGCAATACGCAAAGACACCTTCCAAGAGGGTCCAAAGAGGAGCCCAAGACGGTCAGAGATCGGCCGAGGAGGGCCCCGAGAGAGGCGAAGAGGTAGAACACGAGCCGAAGATCTTACCTTTCCGCCCAAAGAGACCCCCCAAAGGGCCCAAGAAGCCCCCAAGCGGCCCAAGAGAGGCCTCCAAGAGGCCCCAAGGCGGCCGCCAACACGCGTTAACATTGCCTCCTAAGAGGCTCCGCCAGAACTCCAAACAGCTCCCATGACGCTCACAAGAATCCCCACATAATGCCCAAGAAGACACGATGACTCGCCCGTGGACTCCGCGCGTCTTTCTGGGGGTCGGCGGAATGGCGTAAGCCTGCCGAGTAGATACACGAACGCCCTCCGACCTATTTTGCATTCACCTTCAGGGAGTGGGGCGGTGTGTGAAGTCGCTGGCTCGCAGTGGTGGGGCGGCGGTGTAGGAAGTCGCTGGCTCGAAGTGGTGACTTATACACCGCCATCCTCCCCTGAGGCCCAGAAAGAATCCACTGGGAGGTGTTTGCGCGCACAGTTTTGCCGCGGAGAACAGCCGCACTCGACGCGTGGTCGCGAGCGGCCCGAGAACAACGCGGCCGCGCATCCCGCTACCCCCGCGAACCGCCGAGGACGTTGCCGCCGGAGACGTTGATGTCGACGCCGGTGATGTTCGGCGGTGGACAAACCTCCTTGTAATAAACTTCCCTTCAGGGAAAACGGCCCGGGACCGAAACCGACTGACCTGGACCCGCAAAAATGACGGCCGCGACGCCCTCTCGCGAACCGAAAACGGCCGATTCGCTAATCGACGCTTCAGGGTAGGAGGTCTATCAACCTCCGAGATGTAAGACGAGTCGTCGCTCATGGAGGAACAGAGAAACGCAAAACACACAACCTGTCGGCGGCCCGTGCAGATTTCTCGCCTCGGCGCTGGGGCCCCCCCTCCAGCGGCGCCAGAGGCACCGCCGTGGGGCACAACGCCGAGGCAAGAAGTCCGCGAAGGAGCTCCGAGAGCTGCTGCTTATGCCGTTCTCTCTCCCTCGAGCTCAGCAGGAAGAGCACGGTCTGGATCACCTCCTCGGGGGTGCCTCAGGTCGGGCATGTCCTCCTACAGGTGGATTCGGGGCGAAAATGAAACACAAATGGGAAAAAACTGAAAACATTCACAATTAAAACATGAATCGTCCCCATACTATTTCTTTTCTATCTTGGAATCTTCCTCCTGTCAAAGGACATGCCCGACTAAGGGGTGCCTAGGCGGCGCAGCGGGACGGAGGCCACCATCTGCCGCGCCACGGCGTCCGGCCGATCCGGGTAGTAAAACTCCGGGGCCCCGGTCGGGTTCGCCCGCGCCTGCAGCTCCACCTGCCGCCGCCACATGAAGCCGTCCTCTGGGCCGATGGCAGGGGAAGGAACAATGACATGAGCATGAAAACTCGAACGTCCGCGCCAATCTATCGGATCGGCGCTCGACCCCCCCCCTCCCTGGCGCGCGGAGCGGCAGCCAGGGGCGGCCCAGAGGCGCCGCCAAGGGACCCCAGCGCCCATTGTGCGTTCCCCTCGATGAAAGCGGGGCTCACGGAGTTCACGCGCACCCCGCTCGGCGCCTGACTACCTACCAGACCACCCCAACCCAACCCGAAGACCCGCCCGAGTTTCGGGTTGGAGGGAGGGGCGGGCTTCAGATGTGTTTTTCAATGTTCCCCGACCCCCGCCCCCTCTGGAATTGGAGGGCAAACGGGGCCTTCGGGTTGGGCGGTGGGTGGTTTGGTGGGCGGTGCGCGCCAGGTCCGCCGCGGCGATCTTGGTGAGGTGCAGCACCGCGGCCTTGCTTCAGGTCGGGCCTGTTCCCCTACAGGGGGATTTGGGACGAAAATTCAATCTACTCAACAACATATTCAAAAAGATGCCCAAAAATACTCAAACATAGTCCCCAGACTGCATTTTTCTGCCTATCCTTGAATATTCTTCGCGGCGCGCACAAGGGGGTGGAGGGAGGGGGAGGGCTCCTTAGAAGGAGGCTGCTTCTGAGAAGGCGCTGGCCTCACGCCTACAGAAAAGGCCCGCGCCTTCCAAGAAGCAGGGGTGCTTCTAAGCAGCCCTCCCCCCTCCCCACACCCCCCTCTGCGCGTGGCTGCTTCTGGACGAAAAATCCGCCGGCCCCCTTGTGGGGCCACCAGGCTGTAGGCCCGTGATTCGCAGTTTCCTGTACCAGTTGTAGTTTGTAGTTTCCAGTGTTACAGTTCTGCTTCTTGCTGGTTACTGTAACTAGTTGATTGACCGCGCGAGGGGAGGGAGGCCCAAACCAGATTTTTAGCACCACCTGGGCGCGTTGTCTGAATTGCTGGGGGGGCTCAAAATCGACACCCCTCACGCAGATCCGCGGGGTCAGGGTCCAAAAACACAGGGGATTTGCCACATTTCTGAAATTCGGTGCCACCCCTCACGCAGATCCGCGGGGTCAGGGTCCAAAAACACAAGGGATTTGCCACATTTCTGAAATTCGGTGCCACCCCTCACGCAGATCCGCGGGGCTAGGGTCCAAAAACACAAGGGATTTGCCACATTTCTGAAATTCGGTGCCACCCCTCACGCAGATCCGCGGGGTCAGGGTCCAAAAACAAAGGGGATTTGCCACATTTCTGAAATTCGGTGCCACCCCTAACGCAGATCCGCGGGGTCAGGGTCCAAAACCTGCTCTTCCATGGCCCATTCTCCGAGAGAGGGGGCCGGCGGCAGGGGGCGAAGCCCTTACGGATAAATGTACTCAACAACAAACTCAAAAGGATGCCCAACAATAATCAAAACATAGTCCCCAGACTATGTCTTGAGGGTTTTGGAATCTCCCCCCTGTGGAGGGACGGGCCCGACGCGAGCCTTGCTGGAGCCGTATGCCGGCATGGAGGTCGGGCAGCCCAGGCCCGCGCACGAGGCGGTGTTCACGATGGCCCCGCGCCCCTGCTCGATCATGACCTGTGGCCGGGGGCCGGGCCCTCTCCAGGCAGGGTCTGGGCACAGTCGGACTTGATTGGGCAGGACACGCGAGTTGGGCGTGGCTTCATGGGGGGGTCATTAAAAAAAGGGGGGGGGGTCAGAAACGGTACCCTTTCGCGCCGCGCCCCTTTCGGGCCCCTCTGGAGCCCCTGCTCGATCATGACCTGTGGCCGGGGCCGGGGCCCCCCAGGCAGGGTCTGGGCACCAGGGGCTCCCAACGTCGCGCTCTCGCGCCGCCTCCCAGGGGGAGAACGAGGAGGACGAGGAGGAATATCGGAGCCGAGCCACGGAGCGCGGAGCGCGAAGAACTCCGCGCCCTCGAGGGCGCCCTTGGGGTACAGTCGGACTCGATGGGACAGGACACGCGAGGGAACACACGACCCTTGCGGGGGCCACGTTGCCATGGGAATGATGGAGGCACGGGTCGCGAGACACAGGACACAAGGGTGCCCTTGATTCGGCAAGGTCGACCTACCAATCCGGGCCGACTGCAGACGGGGCCGGAGGATCGCGCCGCCGCGGCGATACGTGGGGCTCCACATCGAACTGCATCGCCGATGCATCGCCGATGCGGCGCGATGCTCCGATCCCATCTTCCCTGACCCCACGGGGGCGGCCCAGATGGTCTTCGGCACGTAGGTGTGTGTGTGTGTGTGTTTTGTTTGTGAGTGTTTGTTTTGTGTTTTTTTATGTTTGTTTGTTGTTTTGTTTTGTGTTTTGTTTGTTATGTTCGTTTCGTGCTCGTTATGTTCTTCGTTTTGCTCTCGACCTGTCGTCCTGCACCTCCCCGCCAGGCCAGAAAACAAAACAAACAAAAGAACAGCACAGCCGAAGTCCGGCAGAACAGCGCGCAGGCCCAGCCCTGACCTGGGAGACGTGCTTCAGGACGGCGAAGACGCCTGTCACGTTGATTCTCATCACCTCGTCTTGGAGGCGGCCAGGGGGCCACATCTGGATCAAAGCCGGGGGAGGATCGGCCAGGTCCTGATGAGCTCCCGAGTCAGCCCCCAGACCTCCCGCGGGGTCGAAACTGACCAGGTGTTCGACCCGCGTCCAGCCACGCAAACGAGAGGGCCCTTTTCGCCCCGCTTGCTGCTGGATGGATCCGCTGCAAAGCCACCTCAGCCCCCCAGCCGGCTCCAAACCTTGTCGAAGTCGTCCGCGGAATACTGGTCCACAGGGGCGAAGTCGCCCTGGTAACCAGCGTTGTTAAAAAGACCGTCTATCCTGCCGAACTCTCGCCGCGCCTCCTGCACCATGCTACGCACCTATTTGGGAGGCCGAAGTGGGTACGATAACAACGAACACGATGCCCAACAGCGAACGTTGTCCAAAGCCGCAAGCGGCCGCTGTTGGGCAGGCGACTTCACGCCTCAAATGAACGTCGGCGGCGACGCCGACGGCGAGCCCCGTTCAAAATGGAAACGAGCTGCTGTCGGACTTGCAAGGCGTCGGGCTGCGCGCAGCCAGCCCCCCAGGTAGTCCCAGCTGGCCTCAACAGGCTTCCCCTCCCCCTCCCCCTCCTCCTCCTCCTCCTCCTCCTCCTCCTCCTCCTCCTCCTCCTCCTCCTCCTCCTCCTCTCCTCCTCCTCCCCCCCTTCTCCTCCTCCTCCTCCTCCTCTTCCTCCTCCTCCTGTTCCTGTTCCTCCCTCCTCCTCCTCCTCCTCCTCCTCCGCCCCCCCCTTCTCCTCCTCCTCCTCCTTCTCTTCCTCCTCCTCCTCCTCCTCCTCCTGCTCCAGCTCCAGCTCCTCCTCCCCCTCCTCCTCGTCCTCCTCCTCCATTCGCTCTCCTCCTGCATTCCTTCTCCTCATAGATAATTGCTCCCTGTCGCACCCCGAAGCAAGTTTCGCCTGAAACTTCCTCACCATTATGACTCTGAAGCTTACAAGTGACAACAGCTTCACATATGGAGGGCGGGTAAATTTCAAAATGTGGCTCTCGCCTTGGCGCCGCGCACATGTGTTTGGAAACTGTGCAAAAGTTGCACGGGTTGAGGGCGGGCCGTTTTCCAAAATGTGGCTCTCGCCTTGGAGCCGCGCATATTCGTTTTCAAACCTTTTTCACGGATTCCCATGCTCAGCGTACCACATCTAGTGTTTTGCCAGGATGTACGGTTATGCGGGCGCAACAGTTATGTTGATTCGCGGTGTAGAAATCCCCGAAATGACGCCCTGGCACGATTCCAGATCGTCAAGACGCAGCAGTCAAACTGTGGAGTGGCGTTGACATCCCGAGAACAATGCTTTGGCATGCTTCAGGATCTTGAAACGTTTGTCTTCCAACGAAGCAGATCCCTCAATGGAACTGCACCGTTATGGGGGCCTATGAAAAGGGAGCTTGGAGGGAGGGTTAATTCCAACATCGTTGATGACTCTTGGGTTTGCAGTGGTTCTCCTCCTCGTCCCCCTCCTCCCCCTCCTCCTCGTCCTCCCCCTCCCCCTGTGTAAACACTCCTACTCTGGCGCGCGGACGGCTCCAAAGACGCCGCCAGAGTGTTGAGACCGCCCTGGACTTCTCGCGGGACCTGTCGAGGCCAGCTGAGGCTACTCGGGGGGGCCGCTGAGGCCAGCCGGGACTACCCGAGGGCGCTGTCTCTGGGACTGCCCGAAGGGGCTGTCTGAGCGCAAGCCGAAGCCTCAACAACAACAGCAACAAAAACAAAACACAAAACAACCTAAACAATAGCAACAACAACAGCAACAGCAACAGCAACAGCAACAACAACAACAACAACATCAACAACAACAGCAACAACAACAACAACAACACCAACAACAACAACAACGCAATGACAGCCCCTCAGGCCACCCGGGCGGGTCCCGTGGTGGCGTCCTCGCCCACAATCACAGGGGAAGCGCACTCTCCTGGGCCAAACGTTGCTGTTGTTGCCCTGGGGGGGGGGGGGAACGCGCAACACCTCTGTCATACGCTTACGTGAATGTAGATGCGTTCCCGAATCTACGTTGACTCCCTTATTGTTCTCCACGCACTCCTGTGTGCGAAAAACGTGCGCGCCGACGAAGCGAGCTCCTCCTCCTCTATCAACATCCTGTGGGATCCCTACGAACCGCCAACGAATCCCATACGAATCCTATGGGAGTGAATTCCTGAATGAGGATGTCGAAGAAGGATTCATTTTTAAATATCAAGATTTGGAATACTAAGGATTCCCGATGAAGGATTCCGTACTAAGGATTCCCTACTAAGGGTTCCCCAGTAAGGATTCCTCAGTAAGGCTTCTGTAGTAAGGATTCCTTCGTAAGGATTCCTCAGTAAGGATTCCTAATAATGGTTCTTTCCTAAATATTGCACCATCATCATTCTTTGTAAGGGTTCTGAACAAGGATTTCTTAGTAAGGCTTCCTTTGTGAGGATTCCATTCTAAATGTTCCTAAAACCTGTTCTTGGTAAGGATGCCTGTGTCAGGATTCCTTAATAAGGGTTCCGTATTAAGGATTATTTCGCAAAGGGTTCTGTACTAAGGATTCCTTAGTGGAGGCCCCTTTTGAACACAAAAAAAACAGTTGAAGGATTCCGCACTAAGGATTCCGCACTAAAAACTCATGTGCAAGGACCCCTTAGTAAGAACTTGCGTTTCAGGATAGTTTGAGAATGGTTGGTAAATGGAGATTCCCTTTGCAAGACTCTTTCTGACAGATTCCGTAATACGCATTTCTTAGTAAAGATGCCATTGTAGGGCTTCCTTAGTAATGACCCCTTAATAAAGACTCCTTTCTAAGAATTCTACGCTCAATATTCCTTACATAAGATCTCTTAATAATGATTCCACCGTGAGGATTCCTTCGTGGGGTCCTGAATACGGATTCTTTAATACGAGTTCCTCAAGAAAGGTTCCTTACCACGGATTCCTCAATAAGGATTCCGAAACACGGATTATGTACAAAAGGACTCCTTACTTACGACTCCTGAGTCAGATCTCCATGGTGAGGATTCCTCACTAATGGTTGCTAAATGACGATTTCAGATTAAAGATTATGTTGCACGTATTCCTGAATAAGAATTCTGTGAACAGAAGAAAGAAACACCGAATCATGGGAAATATTCCTTAACACGAGCTATTACTACATAGCCCGTGCTAAAAATTCCGTAAGGAAGAACCCTTCCTACGGATTCCTTACTAAAGAAATATTTTGGGACAAACACTACTTAATGAGGACCCTTTACTAAATATTATATGATAAAATCATGAAGCAATATTCCTTGGTTCATATTCCATAATATGGATTCCTTGATGCCGCTTCTTAAGTTATATTCTTGAAATAACAGCTCCTTGGGAGATATTCCATAAAGAGATTCCTGAATCAAGATTCCTCAATCGAGATTCATTCATCCAGATTCCTTAACAGAGACGCCTTAATCCATGTTCCTGTTTCCAAGATTCCTGAACAAAGATTAATGACAAAAAGATCCATCCATTTTTATTGAACAAATAAATATCCTTCGGTGGCGCCCCGAGCATTCGGAGCCCCCCCCCTGTGGGGCCACGAAGCGTGTAAGGGGTGTGCCGAAATTGGCCCGAACCCTTCGGTGAAGCCAACTGTGGCCACGAAAAGTATGAGGGGTGCGCCGAACTGGACCCGAAGCCGTCGGTGGAACCCACTGTGGACGTGACCCGAAATCTTCGGTGGAGCTCACTGGGGTGACGAACCATGTTGTGGGTTGTGCCGACATGGGCCCGAAGCCTTCGGTGGAGCCCCCATGTGGGGTCACGAAGCGTGTGAGGGGCGTGCCGACATTGACCCCCGAATCCTTCGGTGAAGCCCACTGGGGCCATGAAGCGTGTGAGGGGTGCGCCGAAGTGGACCCAAGGCCTTCGGTCGAGCCCCCTTGTGGGGCCACGAAGCGTGTGAGGATTGTGCCGAAATTCCCTCGAAACATTCGGTGAAGCCCACTGGAGCAACGAAGCGTGTGAGAGGTGTGCCGACATTGGCCCGAAACCTTCGGTGAAGCCCACTGGGGCCACGAAGCGTATGACGGGTGTGCCAAAATTAGCCCGAAACCTTCGGTGAAACCCACTGGGGCCACGAAGCGTGTGAGGGGTGCGCCGAACAGGACCCGAGGCCTTCGGCGGAGCCCCCTATGGGGCCACGACGAATATGAGGTGCGTACCGAAATTGATCCGAATCCTCCGGTGAAGCCCACTGGGACCATGAAGCGTGTGAGGGGTGTGCCAACATTTGCCAGACACATTCGGTGAAACCCACTGGGGCCACGAAACGTGTGAGGGGTGTGCCGAAATAAGCCCAAAGCCTTCGGTGGAGCCCACTGGGGCCACGAAACGCGTGAGAGGTGCGCCGAAATGGGCCCGACTCCTTCTGTGAAGCGCCGAAATAGGCCCGAATCCTTCGGTGAATCCCACTGGTGCCACGAAGCGTGTGAGGGGTGCGCCGAACTGGACCCGAGGCCTTCAGCAGAGCTCCCTTGTGGGGCCACGAAGCGTGTAATGGATGTGCCGAACGCCCGAACTCTTCGGTGAAGCCCACTGGGGCCACGAAGCGTGTGAGGGGTGTGCCGGCATTGGCCAGAAACCTTCAGTAGCCCACTGGGGCCACGAAACGTATGAGGGGCGCGCCGAAGTGGAGCCGAGGCCTTCGGAGGAGCCCCCTGTGGAACCACGAATCGTGTGAGGGGTGTGTACTGCAAAGGGACCAAAATCTTAGGTGGAGCCCCCTGTGGGGCCACGAAGCGTGCGATAAGTGTGCCGACATGGACCCGAAACCTCCGGTGAAGCCCACTGAGTCCACGGAGCGAGGGGTGTGCCAAACTGGACCCGAGGCCGTCGGTGGAACCCACTGTGGACGTGACCCGAAACCTTCGGTGGAGCTCACTGGGGTCACGAACCATGTTGTGGGTTGTGCCGACATGGGCCCGAAGCCTTCGGTGGAGCCCCCATGTGGGGTCACGAAGCGTGTGAGGGGCGTGCCGACATTGACCCCCGAATCCTTCGGTGAAACCCACTGGGACCACGAAGCGTGTGAGGGGTGCGCCGACCTGGACCCGAGGCCTTCGGTGAAGCCCCCCTCGTGGCGTGTGAGGGGCGTGCCGAGAGCCCCCCGAAACCTTCGGTGGAGGCCCACTGGAGCCGCGAAGCGTGCGAGGGGTGTGCCGACATTGGCCCGAAACCTCTGGTGAAACCTAGTGGGGCCACGAAGCGTGAGAGGGGTGCTCCGAACTGAGCCCCCAGCGGGGCTACGAAGCGCGAAATTGGCCCGAAGCCTTCGGCCCGTGCATGGGGCCCCCATGCCTATCCCGTGCACCCTGTGTGGGATCCGATGCGGAGCCCATGCGACCTCGCGGATGCTTCCAGAGCAACGCCCAGGAGCCCCGCGGCGGCCCCGAAGAGACACCCCGAGCGACGCCACCAGGGCCTTGCGGGGCCCCCGCAGGGGCTCGGCGAGGCCCCGTGGCGTTGCTCGAGGGAGGGGCCCTGCAGGGCTCCTGCGTGGCCCTGTGGCGTTGCTCGGGGAGGGGGGGTCGAGCAACAGGCCCCCGTAGTGCCCCGCGAACAAACAACAACAGCACCAACAACACCACCAACAACAAAAACAGCAGCAACAACAACAAACCCAACAACATCAACAACATCATCATCATCAACAACAGCAGCAACAACAACGACAACCACACCAACCACAACAACAACAACAACAACAACACCACCAACAACACCAACACCACCACCAACAACAACAACAACACCACCAACAACAACAACATCATCAACAACAACAACACCAACACCATCAACACCGGCATCAACAACATCAACAACCATAACAGCAACAACAACCACAACAACAACTTTAACTTTAAGTTGGGCAACAACAGCACCAATACCAACACCAATAACAACAACAACCACAACAAGAGCAGCAGCAGCACCACCACCACCACCAACACCACCACCTCCAACAACAACAACAACAACAACAACAACAACGACAACAACGGCAACGACGACGACGACACCAACACCAACAACAACAACGACCACTGTAATATTGGTTGTTCTTGTTCGATCGCGTGCGACGCAGTGCTTATGTCCCAAGCCCTCGATACCTTTCTCTGTGTCTTCGGCCGTACCCCCATCGGGGGTATATCTTCCTTATCTGCCGCGCACATTTACGCCGCCCCTAAAACAGGGGAAGGGGAGACGGATGGAGGAAGAGAAAAAAGGACCACGAGAAAGGGCCTCTCGGAGCAAATCGCGAGGACGCATCGAGCGGGAGCCCTTGTCATCGCAGCGGCGCCTCCACTAATTTGACTGAGTTGCCGGGAAGTTTTCAGCGAGAGCGCTGTTCCTGAGTTCGGGAACCTCTCTGGCCAAGGCCTCCTGTCTTAAATCGCGAAGCAATATCGAACGGGAGCCTTGTCGTCGCGGCTGTGCATGCGCGAACTTGATTGAATTGCGAAGAAGTGTCATGCGAGAGCGCCGTCCCTGGGGCATCTGAGGGCTGGGGCCTCTGTGGGCGCGCTTGGGGCCTCTGTGGGCTGCGTCGGGAGCCTCAGTGGGTAGCGCGCTGGGGCCTCTGCGGGCTGCGTCGGGGGCCTCAGTGGGCTGGGGCCTCTGTGGGCTGTGTCGGCTGGGGCCTCTGTGGGCTGTGTCGGGGGGCCTCTGTGGGCGCGTGTGGGGCCTCTGCGAGGTGGGGCCTCTGTGGACGCGCTTGGGGCCTCTGTGGGCTGTGTCGGAGGGCCTCAGTGGGCAGCGCGCGGGGGCATCAGTGAGCGCGCTTGGGGCCTCTGCGGGCTGGGGCCTCTGTGGGCGCGCTTGGGGCCCTTGTGGGCTGTGTCGGGGGGCCTCAGCGGGCAGCGCGCCGGGGCCTGTGCGGGCTGCGTCGGGAGCCTCTGTGGGCTGGGGCCTCTGTGGGCGGCGTCGGGAGCCTCAGTGGACAGCGCGCGGGGGCCTCTGTGGGCGCGTTTGGGGCCATGTTGGAAGCCTCAGGGGCAGCGCGCGGGGGCCTCTGTGGGCGCGCTTGGGGCCTCTGTGGGCTGGGGCCTCTGTGGGCGCGCTTGGGGCCTCCGCGCAGGGGCCTGTTGGCGCGCTTGGGGCCTCTGTCGGCTGGGGCCTGGCTGCGTCGGGGGCCTCAGTGGGCAGCGCGCTGGAGCCTTTGCGGGCGCGCTTGGGGCCTGTGCGGGCTGGGGCCTCTGTGGGCGCGCTTGGGGCCTGTGTGGGCGGCGTCGGGAGCCTCAGTGGGCAGCGCGCGGGTCGGGGCCTCTGCGGGCTGGGACCTACCTCTGTGGGCGCCCTTGGGGCCTCTGTGGGCTGTGTCGGGGGTCCTCAGTGGTAAGCGCGCGGAGGCCTCTGTGGGCTGGGGCCTCTGTGGGCTGCGTCGGGGGCCTCAGTGGGCACCGCGCTGGGGCCTTTGTGGGCGCGCTTGGGCCTCTGCGGGCTCAGGCCTGTGTGGGCGTGCTTGGGGCCTCTGTAAGCTGTGTCGGAGGACTCGGTGGGCAGCGCGCGGGTGCCTCCGTGGGCTCGCGTGGGGCCTCTGTGGGCGCTGTCGGGGGGGCTCAGTGGGCAGCGCGCTGGTGCTTCCGTGGGCACGCTTAAGGGCTTAGGGCCTCTGTGGGCTGGGGCCTCAGGAGGGCAGCGCTTTGGCGCCTCTGCGGGCGCGTTTTGGGTCTCTGTGGGCGCGCTTGGGGCCTCTATGGGCGCCTCTGTGGGCTGTGCCGGAGGGCCTCAGTGGGCAGCCGGCGGGGGCCTCGGCGCGCTTGGCGCCTCTGTAGGCTGGGGCCTCTGTGGGCGCGTGTGGGGCCTCAGTAGGAAGTCCGGGGCCTCGGTGGGCAGCGCGCCGGGGCCTCTGTGGGCAGCGCGCGGGGGCCTCTGTGGGCTGTGTCGGAGGGCCTCAGTGGGCAGCGCGCGGGGGCATCAGTGAGCGCGCTTGGGGCCTCTGCGGGCTGGGGCCTCTGTGGGCGCGCTTGGGGCCTCTGGGCTGTGCCCGAGGGCCTCAGTGGGCAGCGCGCGGAGGCGTCTGTGGGCGCGCTCGGGGCCTCTGCGGGCTGGGGCCTCTGTGGGCGCGCGTGGGGCGTGGAACGGGGGGCCTCAGTGGGCATCGCGCGGTGGCCTTCGTGGGCACGCTTGGGGCGGGGGCTTGGACCTTTTGTGGGCTGCGTCGAGAGCCTCAGTGGGCAGTCGAGCTGCGTCGAGGGCCTTTTGTGGGCTGCGTCGAGGGCTGGGGCCTCTGTGGGCTATGTCGGGGGGCAGCGCGCTGGGACCTCTGTGGGCAGCGCGGGGGAGCCTCTGCGGGCGCGCTTGGCGCCTATGTGGGCTGTGCCGGAGGGCGTGCGGGCAACATGCTACGGTCCCTGTGGACTTACTCTGGGCCTCAGTGAGTTGTGTGTTGGGGGCCTCAGTGGTCAGCGCGCCGGGACCTCTGTGGGCTGTGTCCGCAGGCATCAGCGGGCAGCGTGCTAGGGCCCCTGTGGGCGCGCTTGGAGCTTTTGTGGGCTGTGTCCGAAGGCCTGAATGAGCAGCGTGCTGGGGCCTTTGTGGTTTGTGGGCCTCTCTGGCCAGGTCGTGTAGGAGCACTAAAGGGGGTGTCGAGCGGGAGCCCCTACCGTCGCAGGTAGGCCTCTGGCGTCGCTACTGACTTGTAGTCTTGGGCCACGGGTTCTCGAAGTACAGCTTGAGGAAGTAACGAACGGGAGCCCTTGTCGTCGCGGCTTGGCCCACACCGAGCGTCTCGAGCGTTTCGAGCGAGAGCGCCACTCTTGATCCCGGGGAGCCTCTCTGGCAAGGGCCTCTGCGAATACATCTTGAGGAAGTATCGAACGATAGCACTTGTCGTCGCACTTGTGCCTCCACGAATTTGACAGAATCAAAAGAAAGTCTCGTGCGAGAACGCCGTTCCTGAGTTCGGGGGCCTTTAGACAATGTAGCCGGCGTCGAGGAGAGTGCGCCCGGAACCGCTTCCGGAGATCAAAAGTAGTCATCCTCTAGAAGAGTATATCCAACAAGCACAACAACAAACAGCAGCAGCAACAACAAAAACATAAGCCTCAACAGCGCGTGCAGTCATCGTGCTGCCATGATCGGGGATGGACAGAACCCCCTTTAGTAAAACGTGGTTTAGTGAGAACGACCTCGGGCCCAAACCTGGCGGGCGCAAGCCTGGAAAAGAACGGCCACGGCGCCCTCTCGAGAGCCGAGAACGGACAATTCACTAATCGACGTGTCACTGTTGGGGGTTCTGTCCGCCCCCGAAACAAAAACATAAGCCTCAACAGCGCGTGCAGTCATCGTGCTGCCATGATGAGCGCTGCACATGGAACAGAGGGGCTCTTCCGGCCACGGCTGGCCTCGGCCACAAGCAAATTCCACGACGCAGATCTCGGTAGCAGCCCGACAGTCCGGACCCAGCCCGAACCTGGGATTCGGAGGAGGAGGAGGAGGAGGAGGAGGAGGAGGAGGAGGAGGAGGAGGGAGGGGGGAGGGGGGAGCACTCCTTATTTCACCGCCCTGACTGTAGCTATCACTGAGCCGACCTTGCACACGTGCTGCAGCGGAGGTTTGCATGGACTTCGGTCACTGCAAGCGAGGTCCCGAAACGGCGGGCGCTGAACGACGTGACAATCACGTGGATTTGTTTGCAATCTTCCTTCCCGGCCCCAAACAAATCCGCACGAACTTCACTTCGGAATCCGGAAGGTTATTATCCAGGACAATCCGGGTCCACCCCATTGTTTCCAGAACGAAGTCCGCTTTGCGATGCTGGCGCCACGATGGCTACCAATTTCGATCGCGTGCAGCCTGTCGTGAGGGAAAAAACACACAGACACAATTAATCGTCGACTCCCAGGAAAAGATTGGGAAATATGGGAATTGGGCGGGAGTACAAAAGCCCAGAAAATATGGGAAAATATGGGGAATCATTTTATTTGTGTATTTATTTGTGTGTCCTTGGGCCCCTTGAGCCTGGTCCTCCTTGGTGACGTCCACGGTGAACGCCCGCACGGGCACCCCGTAGGCGCCGCGGAGGTCCTCGGCGGTGCGCCCCCGGAGGCGGGGCGAGAGGCCGCCGGCCCCCGAGAGGAGGCGGGGGTGTCGGGTCGGGCGAAAGGGGGGGATAGCAAAGGACGGGTTTGAGAACCAGCTCGCGTAGCTGATTTTCCCGGCGCCTCCCGGCGCCGGAAGCGGCTATGTATCGAGGAATGGGCCCCTCGGTGGGGCCGAAACCAGCTGCATGCAGCCAATTTCGTAACCCCCCCTTTCCCAAGCCACCCCTTTCGTCCGGCCCGAGGGTGGTGGGAGGTTCGGAGGCAGCTCTCGCTGCACCGGCCCTGCACACGTGCTGCAGCGGATGGCGAGCGAAGAACTGCGCGAACTTCACGCGATGTTTGTTGTAGTCTTCCTTCCTGGCCCCAAAAAACTGCGCGAGCATCACTTCGAAATTCGGGACGAAATTCTCCAAGATACTCCGGGCCCATCCCACTGTTTTCCCAACGGAATCCGCTCTGCGATGGTCGCGCCATGACAACTCTCGGGAGGTCTTCGCCATGACAACTCCTGGGAGGTCTTCGTCAGAACGATGAAGGGCTGTTAAGCCATATGGATGGGCCACGGGACTGAGCCGGATTAGGCCTGGGATTGGGCCGGCTCTAGCCTGATGAAACCAGAGTTGGTCTGGGATAAACCCAGATGAAATCTGCCAGCGCCGATCCTGAATCTAACCGCAGGCTTACGAAGATTACTGTTAGCACCACAGGCTTGCACCCTGCTAGCTACATTGCGATGGCTTTCGGTTTTCCTGACGAGTTTCGTCTGGAATTCGGTGGGCTTCGTCTGCCTGGACGATGAGAAGTTTAGGCTGCTGTCTGCTCAAAGTACTAAGCAACTAAAGCACGTCCAACGAACTGGGAGACTTCATTTCCAAAGCTGTTCATGAAGTCGCTTGGAGGTCCTCGCCCGTATAAGTCCTCGCCCGTAAGTCCTGCCGTAGTAGAGCAAGGTCCACTCCAGGGTATCGCTCCGCCCCCCGCGCGGGGCGTTGTCTTAACACCAGGGCCACCGAAAAGGCTTAGTAGTAGGCGGAGTTGAAATAGTACTGGTAGTGGTAGTCGTAGTAGTAGTAGTAGTAGTAGTAGTAGTAGTAGTAGTAGTAGTAGTAGTAGTAGTAGTAGTAGTAGTAGTAGTAGTAGTAGTAGTAGTAGTAGTAGTAGTAGTAGTAGTAGTAGTAGTAGTAGTAGTAGTAGTAGTAGTAGTAGTAGTAATCGTAGTAGTAGTAGTAGTAGTAGTAGTAGTAGTAGTAGTAGTAGTAGTAGTAGTAGTCGTAGAAGTAGTAGTAGTAGTAGTAGTAGTAGTAGTAGTAGTAGTAGTAGCACTAATAGTGAATAATATAGTTGCACAAGTAGAAGTAGGAAAACTAAGAGTAGTAGCAGTAGACATACTAGTAGTAGTAGTAGTAGTAGTAGTAGTAGTAGTAGTAGTAGTCGTACTCGTAGGAGTGGTAGTCGTAGTAGTAGTAGTCGTATTCGTATTCGTAGTCGTAGTATTAGCATTCGTAGTAATAGTAGTAGTAGTAGTAGTAGTGTAGTAGTAGTAGTAGTAGTAGTAGTAATAGTAGTAGTAGTAATCGTAGAGTAGTAGTAACAGTAGTCGTCGTCGTCGTAGTGGTATCAATAGAAGGATCAATCGTAGAAGCACCCGCAGTTGTAGCAGTTGTATTAATGGTAGCGGTAGTGACACTCGTAGGTATTAGTAGTAGTAGTAGTAGTAGTAGTAGTAGTAGTTGTAGTAGTATCTGCAGCAGTAGTAGTAGCAGTAGAAGAAGTAATCGCAGTAGTAGTAGTAGTAGTAGTAGTAGTAGTAGTAGAAGAAGTAGTAGTAGTAGTAGTAGTAGTAGTAGTAGTAGTAGTAGTGCTTGTGGTACTAGTAGTTAAAATCAAGGCCGTGGTGCTAGAAGTAGTGGTTGTGATAGAAACAATATCCAGAGTACCAGTATTAGCAGAAGTAGTATTAATCGTAGTCGTAGAAGTAGTTGTAGTGGTAGTAGTACTCGTGGTAGTAGTAGTAGTAGTAGTAGTAGTGGTAGTAGTAGTAGTAGTAGTGGTAGTAGTAGTAGTAGTAGTCGCAGTCGTAGTCGTAGTAGCAGTAGTAGTAATAATAATCGAAACAGTAGTCGTCGTAGTCGTAGTCGTAAGCGAAGCAGTAG